AATTTGAAACAAGAGGTCATTTGGTTTCCTTAATGTTTTAAAATAAAAGCAAAAAGACCATTTAGCACAATATCTATATATATAGAAATCGTGTATTAGAAAGTCTTATCTTAAGATAGTTTTTTAAAAGTAATTTAAAACAAATCATAAATACTAGAAACACACGATTGAAAACTATTTTGGTAACTTGCTTGGCCTTTCCTCATTGTGTTTATCAATAAACATAGGTAAGGAATGTGTGAAAATGACTACAGGTCAAATGTTTACAATTTTATTTAGAAGTGATAGGGCCAACTAAATCTACAGTCCTTAGTCTGAGGGAGTCATCCTGTGGTTATAAAATGAGAGAAGTAATTTACACAATTGAATTAAGAAAATCAACAAAACTAGAGCATTGTTAATGATTTTTTTTATCCTCACCCGAGGATATTTTTCCATTTTTTGTACAGATAGAGTGGGAGGGAGAGAGAGAGGAAGGGAGAGAGAGAGAGAAACATCGACGTGAAGGAACACATCGAGTGGCTGCCACCCGCACGACCAACCAGGGCCGGGGACAAAGTGCAACAGAAGTACGTGCCCTTAGCGGGAACCGAACCCGGGTCTCTCCGGACCGCAGGCCGACACTCCAACCGCTGAGCCAAACCGGCCAGGGCTGTTAATGATTTTTAAAAATACTTCCAGAGAGCCTGTGATTATAGTTCATGACCATGAGAGATATAAACTATCTCTTTCAAAAAATCATGACTTCTGAGCATGGCTAAGTGCCTTCCACCAGACTCTTCTCATTAACTCTCTTAGGGAGATTCTACAAGTCATGTGGCTGATACATCAAAAATGGTCTTTATTCCATTGACTTCAAATGAGAATAGCAACAAACCTGAGAGAATAAAGCATAGAGTTTAAGAGCATAAACTCTGGAACCAGATTATCTGAATTTGAATTCCAAGTCCACTTATTGACCATGCAGTCGTGGGTGAGTTAAACTGTCTCAGTTTAACGAGGTTCTGCAAACTAGGTTAGAAATGTGCATGGCACCTAGTAAGTGCTACAAGAGTATTTTGTAACTGACTGCTTAAAATAAAATTTAAAAACAGACTTAAACACAAGTGTTGTATTAATTTTCCAAATGTATGTACACAGATATTGATTCTGGGTCCTTTAAACATGAAGGTAGTATCTTCCTAACATAACACAAAAACTGAAGAACTCTGATCTCAAGTGACCTCCTGAGCCAAACTGATTAAGCATCAACTGATCAGCACAGTAAACTATATAAATGGGATTTATTCAGCAATGGCAATTTTCCATATTCGTCTTCTAATGAGGCTGTTTTCTGATCTGATCTTGCACTAGAGTTGTTATCCTGCTTCCGACAAAAGCATGCATTCTAGTCAAGTCCAAGGATGTATATTTGATGTGCCATGCCTATGGCTATTTTCTGTTTGTGCAGGGAAAGGGTGTGGAGGAAGCTTTTCAACCAGCATTTTACTTCACTAGCTTACGTATTCCAGAGAGATACTTTCTATGTTAGTGACATTAAAATAACCTAAGTCCCAAAGATTTGCTAGATTAATAAGTCTCTCGATTAAAATGCCAGTATATAAGACACCTATTTGAGAAAAAAATTAACACCAACCCTCATTAGATAAGCATTTTAAACTCAGGGCACCTTTAGTTTCACCTTCAAAAGCTAACAAGCATAGTAAATACTGTCATTATCTTTGAGGGGCATTTTGACTGAAGGACTACATTTGCCATCTAACACAGGTTCAAGCTATTCAAAGAGGATTTAACAATGCCCCTGATTTTAGAAAAGATGAGCAATAAAGGAATATTCTAAATCCAGACTCCTTTTTAGTATCATCGTCTTCACTCATTGATGAGCCATGCAATCTATAAGGCAGCATTTTGGACACCAGAAGGCTATTCCGAGGCTGCTACAGTGTCTGTAGTTACATAAGTACAAAAGATAGGAAAGACCTAATAAGATGTAACTCATTAAACTATCAACCAAAACAGTCTCCACACAGAGGGTCAAAGATGTGATGGCCTAGTAGAGAGAAAAAGATTTGGGACTAAGATGTAAACTTTTCTAAGGTGTGCTAGATAAAAACACCTTTAAAACATTTCCCATTCCTAATTAGCAAAAAGGGCCTGGAAACAGAGCCTTTGTTTGTTCATTCTTTAAAAAGAAAAATCATAAAATCCTCAAGGACACCAAGCTCAAATTAAATGATTATTTTCTCAAAACCAATCAAGAGAAAATTTAGTCTTCTTCAAGCATCAGATGAACCAATATGAAATTCCCGTAAGATTTTTTTTTTTTTTTTGATATTTTGTTCAGATAGAGTGGGGGGGAGAGAGAGAGAGAGAGAGAGAGAGAGAGAGAGAGAGAAACATCGACGTGAAAGGAACACATCAAGTGATTGCCACCCTCACCACCCAACCAGGGCCGGGGACAAACTGCAACCGAGGTAGGTGCCCTTAGCAGGAACCGAACCTGGTCTCTCTGGACCTCAGGCCGTCGCTCTAACCGCTGAGCCAAACGGGCCAGGGCCCGTAAGATATTTTTTTAATCCACACCCAAGGCATGTTTTTATTGATTTTTAGAGAGTAAGGGAGACAAACATCAATGTGATAAATATTGATCGGTTGCCCCCCCCCCCCCCATACACACCTCGACCCGAGACTGAACCCACAACCTGGCCATGTGCCCTGATTGGAAATCAAACCGAAGACCTTTCGGTGTATGGGGACAGCGCTCCAACCAAACAAGCCACACCGTCCAGGGCAAAATTTCCCTAAGAATTTATATTCTTACTTACATTAAGTTCTATTATTTAAAATCTAAATATATATGTGTTCCAGATTGTTATAAATTCTAATGCATATTTACTGACCAGCTGCCTTATTCTGATTTCCAGGAAAAAGTATGTTAACTTGAGCCTTTCTTCATTTATAAAAAGGCAATATTATTCCAAGTTAAGCCTATAACTTCAATCAAGTCTTTAGCAGAAAATAGTGCTTAAAATCATTACTCTGAAAAAAAAAAAAAAATCATTACTCGGGCCCTGGCCGGTTTGGCTCAGCATTTGGAGTGTCGGCCTGCGGTCCAGAGAGATCCGGGTTCGGTTCCCCCTAAGGGCATGTACCTCGGTTGCAGTTTGTTCCTGGCCCTAGTTGGGTCCTGTGAGAGGCAGCCAGTCGATGTGTCCCTTTCACGTCAATGTTTCTCTCTCTCTTCCTCTCTCTCCCTCCCACTCTATCTGAACAAAAGATGGAAAAATGTCCTCCGGTGAGGATTAAAAAAAATCATTACTGATTGTTCACTTAGCTACTCAAATTTTGTGATCACAAAAGCACATAATTGATAGTGTTGGCAGACCAGATCTGTCAGTTCCACTCACTATCCCAATACTTCTTCATAGCCTCATTCTGTCCACTCAAGGACAAAGGCCTCACCATGGAGCTGACAGAACAGCTTAGCTGTTATTTTCAGTGCTTGTTTCCTTAAAACTTTTTATTGCTCTGAACTGCATGGGTAACAGACAAAAGGCTTTTGTAGACTGATGTCCAAAAAACTCATTTGACACCAAATTTATTTCACTAGTAACCCAGACAGTGCTGGTTTCTTACTATAAAAGCACTGAGAATGTTTTTTCCTCCCATTCAAGACTATTTTGTCATCAATACTATGTCAACACTTTTATCAATGGACAATTAAAGTGAAATGACATCATTTAAATAGTGTCTCTCCCAACTCATCAGCTTTAAAAAACTCCATCTACTTAACAAGCCACTACAATTTGACACATTATCAATAGCCAACCTTTGACACTCACCCACCCCCAAACCAGAAGGTTGGCTATCCAATTTGCAACAAGAAAATACTGTATGCACTTTTCTTGCTGGGAAAATACACACAAATGTTAACATTTAGCAACTTGTCTAATCTTGAATAGATTTAGATAATAAATTCTCTAGCTACATACAATGACTTAAAGTAAAAGGATTAGTAAACAGACCTAAATCTTCTTTTTAAGGAGTTAAGTCAGGTGCTTTGACCAAGCAAGTTTTATGAGCTGCTTATCTGCCATACAGAAACAGAAAACTGATCCAATAGTCTCTCTCCATATACATTTCACTTAAATCCTCAGATTACATGAATTTCATTTTATCATCTTTTAGATGTCAGCATGATACCACATTTTAAAATTTGCTATAAAATAGGGTTGACTAGCTTTAGCAGACCATCCCTGTCACGGGGAGACAGATGTGTAGTAGCAAAAAAAATAAAGCTGTCCTAAGCATTGGTCAGGCTGTGGAGTTTTGATAGAACAACTTTTTAGGTAGCAAACTACTATCTGATGCATTAATAGAGCAACTGCTTTCCATTATTCCTCTGTGATTCTATGAGAAAGACCTTTCTGTACCATTAGCACTTACAACATCATAACTCCAGTGATGTTATCTTTGGCAAAGGTTTAAAAGACCACAAAAAGCATTTTTAATTTTAAAGAATTTTAATACAAACTTAATATAAACTATTTCAGTCCCTCTTAACATGTAAGACACTGACTCAAAATACTTTTATACCATTTTTTCAAGTATTGCACAATATAGGTACAAAATTAATATTTACGATTACATTTTCTTCCATAATATATAGCAAAAATCTTTAAACCTTTAACAGAAAATACATTTTTTGAAAAAGCAAATATTCGTACATTTTAATTCCACCACTAAAGGAATATCCTGTACACAATTTTTAGAATAGTTGATGTCTTTAAGATGGATATTTTACAATTTCAGTAAAAAAAATACAACATGAAGCTGCTGCTGTCACAGATCACTGTAGTAAAAAGATATAAATGCAATACCATGTCGTAGAAACAATATATATATATCCTCTGATATTTTACAAACTTTGTACTAAATTAAATTATACAATTAGAAAAGACCAATAAACCCATTTATTAGTGCCAATTTTTTATAAAAAGAAAAAAATCAGCCATGTCCTTGCTATATCTTAAATACTGTAAGAGGCCATATCTGAGAGTATACTTTAAAATATACAGTCAGTATAAAATAACTTTGTGCTTGGTTGGCAAATGAAAAATGATGCATGTTTTATTTTTGTAACCAAGCTTGAATGTATCTTTACTATAAGCTTAAAAAAAAAATCTCAAGGAGGTGAAAAAAGAATCCTCCCTGGGCCCGAGCATTTTAACTTGTACTTTTAACTTTTACGATACATTTGTCTTTTTTTAGTTAGCCATAACAGGCTGGAATTGCTGGTTAGAATACTGCATGTTATTTAAGCTAAAATTCAAGCCATCTACAAATGACTTCTCATTGAGGCCCCCATAGGCCGCAAACACATCAAAGGCATTACTGTACTGAAGAGGACTGAGGTTAAGGGGGCTGTCACCTGGGAACATTCCATTGGTACTACTACCTTGACCCTGCATATTAGGAAAAATAAATTCCTTGGCATTAGGAGAAAGAGCAGAGGTTTTCTGCTGTGGCTGCTGCTGCTGTGGTGGTGGTGGTGGTGGCTGGGATGGCTGCTGCTGTTGCTGTGGCTGCTGCTGGCTACCCAAGCCAAGCCCATACAGAGAGTGCATTGAGGAAGAGATGGCTTTCTGCTTCAAGAGGTCATTCACATTCAAGCCAAGGTTGATAGGAGAAGTACGTGCAACCTTGTTGCTGCGGCCACTATTCTTCATTTTGGTAGAGCCGAACTTGGTGGCAGCAAAAGTGGCAGTGGTGAAGGTTAAAGGCTGAGTGGAACGGGGCATGAAAGTAGGGCTTACAGCAGCAGAGTGACCAAAGGGAGGCGATGGAGAGCTGGACACTGATGATGCTGGGTCACTTATGGGCATAAAAACCTGGGCCTCTGGGTTAAAGCTGTTTTTGATCTCTTTATCCAACTCACATCCATTTTCATTATTATCATCCACATAAAGCACTTTCACTGGTCCCTTTTCACCAATTTGGTAGGAAACCTCAAATGGGTCGATCCAAACACTAAGATCCTGTGGCAAATTGCCACGAACGTCGTCAATGTCCAAACCACTCTCTTTGGATGCCTGTTCAATCACTGGGTCCACTTTCTCCCCTATGTGTATACATCTAAACCCTGATCCTTTGTATGGCTTTTCAGGATACCAGTGCCCTTCATATTTCTTCTTAAGAAGTCTTTCAAGCTCTTCACCAAATATGTTGACACGTCTCCTGGGAAGCTTATTGTACAAATATGAAATAATAAAATTTAGTGCTACTTGGATTTCAAGCTGCATAGCTGCTATGCCACAAAGTTAAATTTGTGTTTCAACTTCCCCACACACACACACCGAAAAAAAGTGTTCAGTTTGTGGCAGAGAAACGAATTTTCATTCAAAGTGCTGGTATTAGTAGATTATCCTTCACCTTGAGAGGTCTTGTTCCTTAAAGAAAACAAAAGCAAACATGCACAAATAAGCTAAATGTAAGCCCACGGCATATTTTCACCCCCAGAATAATTTCACTTTTGGAAAAAATCTAACAGGCTAAAAAGTCTGAAAAATATAATCAGCACAAAATAGAGGAATATACAATAGAAAACTGTTTATTAAAGTTCAAAATATAATGGCAAGATGGGATTTACAGTTAAAACAATATTTTTAACCCTCTGTTTCTGAACAGAGTTCTAAGGATAAAAATACCTCCAGAATATGTAGTATATTCCTTTTTTCTTTCCTTATTTCTCATAAGAATGTTTACTGAAAAAAAAAAACTATATTCAGCATCACCATCCACCCATCATTATACATACATATGCCAGTTTTAGAAGGTGATAATATTCCTATTCACCGATTTAGAAGTGAATTCTGTATTTCTGTTTATTTTAGATATATATGCTACTGCTTAAATCTCCTTTATTATTAAACATTTAGAAATTTGAGTTCGGAAGATTATTTTAATTTCCAAAGTACTTATGCTAAAATTAAAGGTACTATGTACTGAATGAATTGCCACTCTAGTGAATGATTCAAACCAAATGATCCTTCTTCACAGTTGAGGTCTTACATATACTACGGGGACACAATTGAGCTTCTTTGTGCCTTTTCGATATTTTTCTAAGTCTGAAAATACTTCTTCGGCAGCAAATTTAACAAAAGCAACACTTCATTTCAAAACTATTTATTAATCTGTTTCATGGGCAGGGTTTCTGGGTTTTATTCGATTTTCAAAACCACCTCCCTCCCTCAGGATAAGAGAACAGCCGGCGAGTCCTGTACGAAAAGGCCGACCTTTAAACGTTTGCTGGATCAGCAATGGGTGGGGATAAGAAAAGATCAAGGGCAAACAGAAGATATTTGCAAAGGAGATCTATTTGTACACTGAGGTTGACTTGAAAGGACATTTAAAAATCAGGCTGGTATTCATCCATCTGTTCCATTTTCCACATTCGTGGTGACAAAGGGAAAAGACTCTCTGGCTGCCCCCAAACTACAAACACTTTCCACGCCAAAAGCCTGAGTGCCGGCGAAGGCAGCTGATTATGCCAAATTGCTTGAAGGTGCAGGCAGCCGAAATGCAGGCTCGGCGGAAGGTGGTTTTAAAGGAACGCCTTAAGACAGGAGTATGAAGAATTACATAAACAGCCAGTTGGGTCTCATTAGATTTCTGCTCACGGCCCTCGGAACCCAAGCGCTACAGCAGCAGCAAGAGGAGGAGGATGGGGAGGAGGAAGAGTACAAGTCTCGGAGGAGGAGGGGTGGGGGAAGGAAGGCCAAGAGAAATGGAAAAGCAGCCACTCGGGGCCGGGCATCGGGGCAGGTCGGGGCGCCGGCCTCCCCAGGTCAGCTGCTCCCCTCCCCCCGCCGTAACCGGACCCGCTGCTCCCCGCCCCCAGCCCTCAGGCTCCTGGGACCCAGCCAGAGCCCGGGGAGCACCGGTTCCCCAGGACCATTTTCGGCCGCGGTTGCCACAGGCCCCGCGGACCCCCGCGTTCCCCTCGAGCTCGCCGCTCCTTCCGGGCGCTCCAACCCCCGATCCCCGTCAGCTCGCCTCGGGCCGCCCTTCCCGGGTCACCCGGCCGGGGCCGAGCACGACGTGCTGGCCGGCCCCGCCTCCAGCTCCCGGGCTCGCCGGGGCCCCTCGGAGCTGCCTCGGGCCGGCCGTCTGGAGCCGCTCCCCTCCGCGCCGGGGCTGCGATGTCGCTGTCCCCGAGCCCCCGAGGGCCCGGGGCTCGACGCCGCTGCAGCCCCTCCTCCTGACTCCGCCCGCCGCCCCTAGATACTTACGGGCTGCTTCCACCACAGACCTGGCCGCTGGGCGGGGGAGAAGGGGCGGCAGGGCGGTGGCACTGGAAGCTCGGCAGCGGCACCCTGGCTGAGTGCAAGACGACGTGGCCAGGCAGAGAGCGCGGAGGACAGGGCCTTAGTGCTGGCCTCAGGAGGATGGCCCTCTGACTCGGGGTGGCGGGGACGGGGTCAAGCGAGCGCGCTCACTTCTCCACACAGCCCGGTGCCCGGCCCAGCGTCCCCGTAGTGCACCCACTCTGCGCCGGGCCAGAGCTTCGCTCCTTCTGCCGCGGCGCGGGCCCCACCTCTCATTTTATATCCTCTTCCCCACCCCCATCCACTCCCGTAGGGGTGCGCGTGCGCTCATTCGCGTCACACAGCTCCGGGTGGTGTAACCAATCCCCGCCCTCCTACCCGCTCGCCGGGCCCTCGCCTGCTGGCTCCGCCCCTGCCCCGCCCCCCGACACCATTGGCCAAGTCCCGCCTGCTCTGGTCCTGACTGGCAGCTGAGGGCCTGGGTGGGTAAGGCCCCACCTCTCGGGCTTCAGAATGACCAATGAACCAACGACTTGGAGACTTTGTGGGCGGGATTAAGAAAAAGATTGGAAAGTGATTGGGGGAGACACGTGCCAGTAAGGGTGACAGGGGGCGGCTGACTCTAGGTTTAGGCGAAGAGCGCCGGGGAGAAGGGGGAGGGGAGCGAAGCAGGTGGCAAAGCAGTGGGGGAGAGGCAGGGAGGAGAGTCCAAAGCCCGGAGAGGGAGGGGAGTTTAGAGAAAGTGACCCTAAGCCCTGGCTGATTTGGCTCAGTGATAGAGTGTTGGCCCGAGAAAGTGACCCTACCCGAGTGGGACTGTGGCCGAGGAAAATCCCACTCGCTCACAAGCTACCAAGTCGGCCTCCAGTGCACCCAGGAGAGCTTAGAGAAAGGGCGAACTGTGACAGGGACTCGTGCACCCGATTAATTGAATAGTAATCACAGGGGCCCAAGCCAACTGCCATCCAGAGACTGACAACTACAGAACCCAGAGCTGCCGCGTCAGGCTGGGGGTGGGGAAGGGAGACCACCAGGCCACACCTCCCGCCCAGGTGACAGTTTAACTGCCTCTTCATTCCACATCAGACCTCCCGGTGCGACCCGGCGGCAACTCGGAGTCGGGGTGGTGTGAGACTGCACGAAGAATCGCATTTTATTCCAAATGTCCCAACCCAGGCCTTCGTGCCACATTGCGGACGTATCTAACGACATATGTGTGTGTGTTTCGAGTGCCTACTTTAACACAGACATAATAAACCGGGTGCCTTCCTGCAATGTGCGTTTAAGATAATTTTCGGTTGAAATATGTCTGGGGAAATAGGGAGCGGGGAGAGAGAGAGAGAGACCCAAGGGGGTAGGGTGAGCGCCCTTTTTCACAACCTGCAGCAGAGAAATACACGAAGTTGACGTTGGGAGTGGAACCCAGAGTCCCTCCCGGCTAAAAATATTACAGGTAGCAACGACGCCTGATTGGCCACGCGTCTCCTTAGCAACCAGACGATTGGCTGTCTGGTATCCTGGAGACCGACGTCAAACTGGCACTGGGAAAGGGGGAGAGAAAGTCAGGGAAGGGAAGAGTGGGAGGAGGGGAAGAGGAGCAATGAATGAAACGCCCATCGCCTAGCCTTCTCCTCTCCCCTCTTCTCTGCACTCAAGGCGAGATTCCAGGAAAAACACCAGTTGGGGCGCCGCCTTCCCCTCAAAAATGTGGGGCGTTCATTCTCAACCTGCGTAAGGAAGTTAAAGTGAAACTCACGGAGGAGTGGGGTGTCCGCGGACCCGGCTGTCTACACCAGCTTGGGCACAAACCCGCATTACGTGTTAGGCCTAGAGGCTTTGCGCTTTGTGGATGCAAAATGTGGATGTAGCCTTTTTCTCCGCCCTGACTCTTGTGACCTTCTGCCACCTCTCCTCCCCTTTTAGAAGGAACCGAACTGGAAAAGGATATTTCTGAGGTTCCAGTGTGTGTGAGCGGGGGAGGGAAGATCGGTGTGTGGAATGAGATGAGGGTGGGGGTGGTCAGGCGACCGATTTCATGTTTATTGTACAGATTCCTAAAACTCAGGCAGCGTTTAGTAAGGGCATCCAAGTTTTACTCGGCGACTCTTTAAATTCTGATTTTTATTTTATTTTAGTATTTGGGGTTTTTTAGTTGTAAACAAGGAAGAGTGGGATTTGATTGTAAAAGTATGGGAGCATTTAAAATGAAAATGCCCCTTCCTTTGCATCAAATAATTTTATAATATATTATTTGTTCAGTGCTTTCTTATTTTGCTCATTTATATTTTCTGGTTGTTTTCTATAATGAACATTAATTTCATTTGGTATTTAAAAGGTATTTTTGATTTTATAATTAGCTGAGCACAAAAGTTGCAAGAAACTAGGTAGGATATTTTGGGAATAGCTTACCAAGAGAAACACTTGATTTTCCTTGTGCTCCAGAGCATAATTTATCTTACTATTAAGCAAATATTACTGTACCAAATATCCAGAAATCCAGGACCATGTGTCGGGAAATATGTCTTGTTTTGTCATTTGGAAAATATATCACTATATGTAATTAGAAGAACATATTAGGCTCGGCTTAGATCAAAATGTCTGAAGATAGGTGAATTGTAATTTTATCAAGCTTATCTATACTTTTCAAGAATTCTCTAAAGAGAAGGTGCAAATTCTCTCTTCTGACTGCCGCCTGGGGATCCCAGGTTTAAAATTTGAGAGCAGTCATCTGATAGGTACTGATTAAATATGAATAGCAGTAAATAGAATTTTTAAATCAGAAATTTGGATGTCAAAAATTTATGAGTTATTGCTACTCAGCCCCAGGGTATGAGAGGGTTTCAAACCAAATATAAATATAAACACACACACACACTGAGACCCCATGGCATACTGGAGAAAGCACCCAAGAGCAGGTATTGGGACATCTGAATTTCACCTGTTTCTATCCCTTTCAGTTCTCTCATCTATAAAAAGGGTTGGATTAAATAATCTCTTTTAATGAAAATCCACATTTAAAACTCAATGTCCCTAAAGTAAATAATGTAGTTCTTTTAAAAAAAATTTTTTTCTTTATTGGTTTTAGAGAGAGGGAGGGAGAGAGAGATAGAAACATTGATGAGAGAGAACATCGATTGACTGCCTCCTGCATGCTCCCCACTGGGGATTGGACCCACAACCTGGGCATGTGCCCTGACTGGGAATCGAAACGGCGACCTCTTAGTGCATGGGTCGATGCTCAACCACTGAGCCACACCGGCCAGGCAATAATGTAGTTCTTTTTCAGATATAGATTGCAAATAAAAGGGAAACCAGATGCATAACTTTCCAACATTCCAGTCACAAGGTATAAAATTCCCTTTATCCAAGTCTTGCACTTGTATGGACCCATATGGCTTATTATTATTTAACATTTACTTTGGAATTGCTCGGGACTGCTAAATAGTTATTTAGACTTATGGAGAAAAAAAGAATTTGATATTAGCCCCCAGGTGGTATCACAATCAACAGATATTCCTCTCTCTGGGCAAAGAAAATCACATTAGTCACTGGAAATTACAGTCCTTGTTTTTCACATTCTTGCATTCAACACTATTCCTAGAGCGGTGCCTTACACTAAAGGTGGTGATTGTTTGGTAAAGGAATAAATTCCAGTATCATTGGAAATTGCAGGTCCTGAAAGTGCCCTGAATTATTACCTCACTCACACTTATAAACACACCCCATCTTGATTTCTGAGAGAGAGATGTCCTACACTTTCTAATTCTCATTCTGTTTCCTTATAAACTGAGACCTGGATTACAGGAGAATTACCATCATATGATGTGTATTTACGAAGGCTCATTTCATTTCCAGGGAATCAACTTTTTACCTTTATTTGAAAATTAGTCAACATCCAAATGTAATGTTCTTATCACTCTTGTTATTTCTTTCTTTTAGATAGTCATGTAACAAACCAGAGCATGCAGATTTTAAACATTATTAATAAGGAACACCTGCAAACTAATCACCGAGTTATTAAAATCCAAGTAAATCAATTATTTCTAATTTCTCAAAGGAAGGCACACACTTACGATAGAATAAACTTCAATGTGGTTTCCTGTGGCTTCTTACACAGGTTAGTAGGGGAAGGCCATATATTCTCCAAAAGAAACAGGAACACAGACTTTGCAATGAAAAGATAACTAGATATATTAAACAAACCCATTTATCTTTGGAACAGGCAATTCCACTGAAGGAACTTGGTCTAATAGAATGTCTCCTTATAATTTACTCAATCCCTATTATCCTGATGAACAAGATTCAAATCAAATCTTGAGATTTTTTTTCTTTAGCCAAGGATGAGGATTTTTATCTCAGCTGGAGATTATAGTTGCAGGTTCTAGGAGTGATAACAGTGTTCACAACATTCAAAGTCCAAAAAACATCAAAGCCTCTGTGAGTGAATGTTATTAGAGTACTTTAAATATATGAATTGTAGATTTCATCTACTGCACCTGTGTTAAGGAAAATGGAAAGGGTTCTATTGTAATGATACATAATTTTAAAGCATGTTTTGCAGCTGTTATTATGCAGCTCTTACAGTATACATAAAAATTCTATTTTATAAAATAGACATATAGAGCCCGGCTGGTGTGGCTCAGTGGTTGAGCGTTGACCCCTGCACCAAGCAGTCGCTGGTTCGATTTCTGGTCAGGGTACCAGGTTGTGGGCCTGATCCTTGGATGGAGGTGTGGGGGAATGCAGGAGGCGGCCAGTTGATGTTCTCTCTCATCAATGTTTCTACCTCTCTCTCTCCCTTCCTCTCTCTAATCAATAAAGAGAAAAACATTTTTTTTTTTAAAAATAGACACATGGTCCTGCAATTCTGAATTAGAGGTCTTCGCGTTTTTCTCCTCAGTCCGTGTAAGCATCTTGCAGACTGTGTGCCAGATATGTGGCTGAACATGATTCTAATCTAAACTTTCACTCTAGAACGTGTCCAAATGTTTTAAACATGATTTTGGTTTCCAATCGACTCGTTATCAACGAATGCTTTCTGGTAACTGCTGGTCACATGCGGTTATTTAAATTTACACTTAAATGGAAAAATATCCTCGGGGAAGGATTAAAAAAAAAAAAAAGTATACTTAATTAAAACTCAATAAAATAAAAATAGGCAAAACCAAATAGTTCTAATGATCTTTACCATCTTCTTTCTCCTTGATCTTTCTGCCACATTTTACACTGTTTGCTG